AGCTTCTTGCATTTAAGAAGATTCCCAAGGTTTGTTGTTTATTTTATTTTATTTTTTTTGAGTTTGACAAAGGTTAGTTTTTAAGCTGATTTAGAAGTAGAAAGGATGTTTAACAGTCCAAATGGACTAATATTATTTCATTTATTTTTTTCATTGAAAACAAAGGCACAAGATATGAAATCCTCTTATTAAATAATTAGAACATTTGCACATGTAGGATGCGATGAAGAAAAAGGCATATTTAAAGGCGTATTTTGACTGTTCCCAGTTTTATTACTTTTAATTTAATTTGTATGGATGACTAATGTATTTATCACTCTCCTCCTTTTTTAGCTGCGGGAACTTGCATTGGCCAATGTTGGTTCAATTCATAGACGTGCTGACCTTGCCAAGAAATTATCTGTGCTCTCTCTTTCGGACCTGAAAGATTTGGTTTGCTCTAAGGTCTGTGAAAGACTCATTTATTAAACCGCTGTTATTCTGGGATGCTGAAAAAATAAACTGGAATGATGAGTTGATCAGTTTGTTTGTATTTTCAATTTACGAGAAAGCAGTAAATTATCAACTTCAAGAATTGTGGTTCTTGGACTCATTTCATCACGTTTTACTTAATCTTTAGGTAGGGACACCCAATCTATGGCAGTTTTCAATTAAAGATGCCATATGATTGGGGAACTGTTGTTTCTCACGTGCACTCACGCAATGTCAAGTAAATATGGTAGATTGTCTCTGTTCACCTTTTCATTTTTTTTGTCATCTATATCCTCCTCCCTCATTGAGTACTACAATTACCAAGGCATGGGACTAAGTTTTCAACCCTGCTGGAACCAAGAGTTTTCCAATTTTCTATGATAATAATAGTTCAAAATTACAAAAAATCTTTGCATATTGTTTCTTGTTTCAAGGCTATAAAGTGCGCAATCCATCATTAGCAACTAGGACCATGTAGTTTGAAGCTCTGTTCTAGGTACAGTATTGTGTTAGGAATACTGTTAGGGTAGTGGTAAGAGATATTATTAAGAAAATAGAGGTATATTAGTCTTTAGCTAAGGAAGTTAGCAGGAGGTGGCTATGGATAGAGTGAATGGGAAGGGATGAAAGCAAGAGATGGTACTTTAGGCTTGAGAACTCAAGGGGAGGTTCCAAGTTCCTCTAACTACTTGGTGCAGCTTTTTGTATTTCCTTTTTCTAGAAATAATCAATATATTCCTTTGGTTCCTATCATATTAATGTCAAATATTTTTTCTTTGGTAAGAGATATTAATATCAAATATCTATCCTACAAGACAGTTGTTGGCTGACTTTAAAATGATGTTAGTGAAAACCATACTTTTCATGCAGCCTATTGTGCTTTTGTTCGTTAATTAAAGTGTATTATTTGCTAAAAAAGATGAAAAAAAATTAAGTTTATCTACCATAATAAATAGCACAATAAAGACAAACCATTTGCCCTCTATAACTTAGGTTATTCTTAATAATATTTAATCAAAATAAGCCAACAAAAATAAAAAGTCTTCTCTCCTCTGTTGAGGTGCTCTTCCCAGTCTTAAATCGCTGATATATTCTACTCGCCGGCCATCCCAGTGATCAGCATCGTCACGCACGGCACGGCCTGGTGTTCGCTCAGCAGGTTCAGTCCTCACACCCCCTCTCGAGAATCGGTTGTTTCTTTCTACTATTCTCTCTCTGTGGACATTGGATTGAGTTCACAGAGTATTGAGTGGATTCTGAATGAAACGATTGATAATGCATGAATATTTGATCCTAAGATACTCTGTGGACATGAATTGTTGATGTTTGATGTTCGGATACGATATGACATGATTATTTTGATTTCTAGTCGATAATGTATTTAGTCTTAATCACGTGATTTTATTAGGTGGTTCACTGAATTGGTTGAAGAACTTGTTTGAGTTATCTCCCTTAGAAATTAGAGGTAGTGAATTGAAGGAGTTTTGCATACCGAGTACTCATCATAAGCCGTAAAGTATATGAATGGGGACCAAGTTCTTAGTGTTCTGACTGCGTTTCAAATTCGTCGACTTCACTGCTGCTGGCTGATCCGTTCTTCACGCAAAAAGAATTTCGGGTCTGGATGTTAAAAAATTGACACAGAATTAGTGATATAGATGGGGCTATGATCAGCTCGGGTTTTGGTACACGGACTTAGCCAGAAAAGTGAATCCAGCGAAGTTCATAATTTTGTTTTGGGTCTACCACCTCTCTTCCTCTACTTCTATTGGTATAATTGATTCCTTCCGTGCTTTGGTTCCCACGTGTTTGTGCTTTCTTTTTGTGAAGTTGGGGCTTTAATTTGTTGTTCTAGTTCCAGTTTTAGGAAAAGATAATGATATAAGAAATTGTTAATGGGCAAAGATGCTTTTGTGGCACAAACGTTGTAATAGACTCTCGCATTTATCCTCTTGTGAAATTTGGTTGTGGAATCGAGCATGTAGAATTTGCAAGTATGTAGTTCTCATACTGCTACGGTTGGAAATGCTTAGGTTTGTGGATTTGAGCATATAAGCCCAATGCTTATGATAATCTGTTTTCTTGAGAATAATTTGTGTTTTTGAGATAATTTAAGTTCTTGTGTTAAATTGAGTTCACTATAGTTTTTATTTTATTCATTTGGACTCTATCGGCCCTAATTCTATTAGATGGAGGGTACTCTTGCTGAAGAACTTTATTCCGAGAGTCTGCAGTCAACAAATTCAAAATTGGGTGCTACATTGTCTTCTGATTGGGGACAAAATCGGTCATCAGGTATTCATGATTTTTTTTAATGACGCATTCAAACATATTTTTAAACTTTTGACATGCTGGGAGCTTGGGAGTGGAACATACATGTTACATTGACGATAGTTAGTTACATGTTTGAGAAGTTTAATTATAGGAGAATGACTGATCATCTATTGGATATTTTAAACACACCTTATCTGAAGCTCTACGAATTTTTCCTATTTTAGCATGGTGTAATTGGAATCTGCAGCTCTAGAATCCATCATGAAGAAATATCTCCGTTTGTGCCAAATCATTTATTTTTGTATTTCATTTGACTGAAATATTCTCTTCTTTGGTGCATTATTGTCACCAAAACAGAATATTTATGCTTAATTATGCATTTAATGTTACATTGTTATGCATTCTATTTTCTGTCAAAGATGCACATTGCATATGATCTTGGTTCTAGAAAAATACGCCTTGCTTTACTTGAGTGCCCTTTTCTTGTTTCTCAAGTACACCTTTGTAGCTTGTGCCTAATAAACGGGGCTATAACTAGAACCAAAATTTGTAGGATTATATGACTTACTGTCTGGTTTTAGGTTCTGGTGTGGATGACTTGTGCCAAGATGATGGATCTTTATGGGGTGGTTCTGATGAAGGCTTGGAGGAAATATCTGATTTGGACAGGGAGTGGCAGAGGAGACATGACCAATTCCATACGGTAACAGCCTTATGTTGACTATTTTATTTTATCTTTTTCTTTAATAATTGATTTCATATATGTAGGATTGAAATGGTTTTCGTGCTCCTTTTACCCTTTAACAACATTTAGATTGGATACCGTGATGGTTTAATCTCTGGTAAAGAAGCTGCAGCTCAAGAGGGATTTAATGTTGGCTTCAAGCAGTCAGTCTTTATTGGGTATAAGTTGGGTCTTGTCAGAGGTGTTAGCAGGTAATGAGAGAATGAATTCCCTAACCATTTTACGAATGCATTAATACATATATTTCTCTTTCAAAGTCTGTGTCGGCAAGAATTTCCTTACAAAAAGAACTCTTGGTTCTTGGAATTTAACAGTTATACTATAATGTTCTTATGCTCTAAAAAATTTAGTCCCGACAACACAATGGTGTGACATTCTGAATTGTTAAGAGAGCTGGTCAGGTGTAGCGTGCAAAGAGGTCTAGGATAGTATTTTTAAGACCACATGCTGTCTCTCTCTTCTTGCGCATCTTGCAAAGGTCTCTGGACCCGACTGAAATCAGCCTCATAGGTTGTGCAATTGTGTCGAGTTGAGAAGCTACATTGCCTTCTTCATCTCTTTCTTAATTCTCTCTCCCTCCCTCTCTCTCTCTTTTAATAAGAAATAAAACTATGTTCAGAAGAAAAAACCAACTACAAAACAACCTAGAACCGGGGTGGCCCAAAGAACTGCAAAAGAAGAGCCTTCCTATCACTATTAATCATTAGAAGACTATAGTTAGTTTGAACAATACCAAGAGAGGACGAATACTGCACACTATTACAAAAAGAATCAAAAGAAGATATTTTAACTTCCAAAGATGCCGTGGAAGACCCTTAGCCACAGCTCCACAGGACCTTAGACTTGCTCTTAAATCACCAACTCTGCTTCCATAAATCAATCATCTACTCGTCTAGGGCAACATAAAGAAAAACCAAGCTCTTTCAAAATAAAAGACCATCCCCTGGAGGCCAAATGGCAATGAAGGAAAAGGTAGTCCAAAGATTCACCGTCCTTGAGGCATAGACAGTAAACTGTAGGGGATAAGCCCAATTCGGGAATTTTCTTGCAGCATCTCTCGAGTATTTATAGGCTTTCTATAGGCTAAAGACCACTGAAACATGTTTAACATTTTTTGAATTCTTAAGTTTGAACCCAAACAAGCTCCACGGAAACATCTTGATTCTCTCTTTTCAGCTTTCCAGTCTAAGCCCACATGGATCTCTTCAGTGAGGATAGATATGTTGCACTGAAATTATACAATATAACTAGAAGTTGAAGCATAATTTAGGCGCGATTTCAAATGCGAATATTAAATAAAATAGTTTGTTAAAGCCTGGAGAAATAAATTTGCACATCACCCCATTGGCCATTCGTCTATTGTTAAAGCCTGGAGGATAGATATGGGGTTTCCTCTACCCAGCCCTTAGGTTGTTCCTTTTGTCTTTCTTTTGGAATATACAAGTTTCTTATCTAAAATAAAAAATCGTCTATTGTTCTTGTTACTGCGTTGTACTTAATATTTTTGTTTTCTTCTTCTGTAGTGTGCTTGCTTGCCTTCCTGATGACTTGAAAGAGAAGCTAATGGGAAATGAAGAGAACAGTAGTAAATTCCAAAGCTTGTATGAATGTACGAACTCTATTTCGACAGCAGATGCGCTTAGACTATTCAATGACGAGATTTTGGCACAAGACACGACAGAAGAGTGTGTCGACGCAGATACTAATTCCCGAACGATAGGTTTGCTGAAGCAAAATCCAGATGATGGACGTCTAGGGAAGTTCTATGGAGAGCTTCAAGCACTTTTACCAAAATCACCTGCTCTGAAAGTTCATCTACATGAAGACCAGCAGATTTTGCCATAACTCATCATTGATACTTCTGCTGAGGAGAAATATTTTGTTTGTAAAATTTTCAATGCAACTTTTGTAGATTTAGCATTTGTTACGTTGAAATTTTGGATATTGACCTTGCCTGTATTTGTTTCAATTATGTAAATATTTACTAATAGGAATTGGATGATATCAATCTCTCTTTATTGTTGTTACTAATGTGTACTGCAGGGCAAAGATTATGCTGCTACTGGGAAATTGACATCTGAGGTTGATTTTTTAGGATATTGTTTTTGAAATAATGATTCGAAGCTGCGACCTTTTCATTTTTTTTTTAGTTACTAATATTTTGGTTAATTAAATTATGATAAGGTTAATCACAAATTTGATATTTCATAAACTTTTTGTCAGAAGGCTTTTTATTTTTGCATACACTATTTTGAATGATCTCGATTTTTATACTTTTAGCTCCATCAGTTCTACCATTCTTAATTTGATGGTGTAATAATTATATAAATATATTGAACATGTTAGTTATATTTAATTTTAACAATTATAGAGGGTATAAGATGAATACAGATTAAAATTTAATTCAAATTAAAATTGGTTGGAGGTAATATAATCAACTTACGCATAATCCAACAAATTAAGGTATCTGTGAGTGATTAGATCATAAGTTCAACTTTATCTGATTAGGTCATAAGTTTCATGTTTGGACTAGAAAAAACAAGAGGTAATATAAAAGTACATGATCTTTATGTGATGATCATTTACTCAATAAAATTAAATTCAAATTTTCCAATCCCAACATTGTTGGGTGGATAAAACACTTTTTATATATCATCCCTAAGTTTGATAGTTCAAGCCTATTTCTTGTACCAGAAAAATAAAAAAATCGACAGTCATTCCTCACTCTTGTAATTGTTGAACTTGAAACTAAACAAAAAAGATCCTATAAATTTTAGCTTAAGGTAATTTAAATTTAAAGATAAAGGTATTTCAGGGTGCAAGTGTATTGGTACATAAGAGGTGAAAAGCTAAAACCATCTTAACTTAACCGTAATTGTCATATATCTCAAATAAAAAAGTTGTGAGTTAAATCACCACTCTTACATGTTGTACTAAAAAAAGGTAAATAAAGGGTGAAAAAAACCGATCAAATCGACTGAATCTATAAAACTGATCGAAATAAGTCGACGGTTCGATTTTGGAGCGGTTCAACTTTACTAACATTAAGCAAATACTAAAAGTCGGAAAAAAAACCGTTCGATGCTACAGACTAACATTCATATGCAATGTTAGGTTTGGCAGTACGGTACCGTTCGATTTTGGTATGTAGCGGTTCGGTTCGGTTCGAGTTATTTTATTTTTTTAAATTCGTTGGTTCTATGTATTAATTGACCCATTTATATTTATTAAATTTCTTATATTAAAAAAGAGGACTCATGTATTTGAGGAAATTCTACTGAAAATTTCACAATTTCGCGTTCCGAACGCCTGGGGTTGCAATTAGAAGATATAAGACGATCACCGGCTCTGGTAGGGGGACGGGCATTTACGCCGCCGCCGGCGCCTCCTTTCTAATCACTAAATTCCGATTGCCACGGTGAAGATATTTGCCGTTCACCGACTCCGGCCAGGGACAAGGCCGTTTACACCGACTCTGCTGCTTCTTCAAAACCCAGCTCTCGAGGTTTATMCTTCAGTAAATCCATCCCTCTAGCTAAAACCCTGCAGCATTTTGTGAACTTCGGAACCCTAGAACTCTCTCCATCTACCGTAGAAGTTAAGGTTTCCGACCGCACAGAATGCCGAAGGTCTATGGAACTGGTGTGTATGATTTCAAGCGTCACAGAGTGGCGGAGTACCCCGTCGAATCCAATCAGGTCGACGACAATCCCGTTGAGTCTAAGCCCGGCGCGGCACTGCCAAACACGATAACACTATCGGAGATTCAACGAGACCGGCTGACGAAGATTGCGGCGGCGAACTGGTCGAAAGTAAGGGACCCCTCGAAGCCTAAGAAGCCCTTTGATCCAGAGTTGGTAAAGAAGATTTACGAGACGGAGCTGTTGGTTAAAGAGGGCCGGAAAACCGTTCCGCTGCAGAGGGTGATGATTTTGGAGGTCAGTCAGTATTTGGAAAACTATCTGTGGCCCAATTTTGACCCGGAGACTGCGACGTTCGAGCATGTAATGTCGATGATACTCATGGTTAATGAAAAGGTAATTGTTATGTGAAAAGTTTTCTAGTATTCATGAACTGTTATTCTGAGTATTTCTCCCTCTAAACGTACCTTTTGTTATGTTGTAATGGAAATCTATTAAGAATATAACGGGAAATGTAAAGTTGTTTCATGCTATGTCGAAATTACTTAAGGTTTCGATAAGCTCTGTTCTGGAAGAATGTTATATTGGAGGAAATGTTTGTTTATTGGTGGCTGGGAAGCTACGAAAAGGAGTGAAATGAACCTCGATTTCCCCCCTTTTATACTGATGTGAGTTCAGCCCAATTAACTAATTTCATGGGACAATTAGCAAACTAGAAAGCTCACCGGGTAGGTGTTCACCGAAATGAATTTCATAAGAGCTCATCTAGAAAGTGGCTCACCATTCTTTTATTGTTTTTTTAGTTTTAATTTGTTGAAAACTTGTATTTTTTTCTTTTAAATTTAAAAATGGCATTTCAGGGAATGCTCATCATTTGAAACTGCTGTGTCACTTAATAATTGAAATTTGATCTTGTAGTTTAGAGAGAATGTTGCAGCTTGGGTATGTTTTTATGATCGGAAGGATGTCTTTAAGGGGTTTCTTGAGAGGGTTCTTCGACTGAAGGAGGTTAGTTTTCTTTTTTCTTATTACACATAGTATGTCACCTTGTGAAAATTGCTCTAATGATACTTGAAAGATTATATTTTTTTTGTGTGTAAGAAACAACTTTATTGATGTATGAAATTACAAAAGTCCTAGAAGGGATTACATGAAACACTTTCAATTGGATAAGAAGGAACACTTTCAATTGGATAAGAAGGAAGTGTAGCTATAGTGATGGAACGGAGGAGAATATTTACACCAAGTAATAACTAGGAAGACTATAGTTGAAAGATTATCGTCCTTTATTTATATTTTAATATTGATTAACAATATTGGGTGATTAATTTAATAAATGTAAGTACAAAGAGCTATAAAAAAAATAGGTGTCGACTTAAGGAATGAAGCTACCAAAAAATGATAATGATAGGAAAAGGGTTCTAGTCCATAAAGATCAGAAATAGAGAAAATTAGGAAAAAAAAATGTAGTTACATAGATAAAAAAAAATTTGGAGTCTTCTTTCTCATCTTTGTAGAGGTTAAAAATCTCAAAGAAAGTTAGGTTATTTGCTTCGCTCATGGTCCTAGGAAGGACTAACTCCACTAATGTTTTGTAGAGAGAGAGTCTCCATTATTGTTTTTGGCCTGAATTGTTGGTRTCTTGTCTAGCATCRAAATATAATATTTGATACGTTTTTTGCAGTTGTGCCTTTTACTTCCAAAATATGGGGTTGCATATGGCAGAGCTTTAATATATGTTGTAATGGTTGAAGAGCAAGATCACAACTTACTAGCTTTCTCAGTTGTACTCATGTTTTGCTAGTTTGTGTTGTTGATGGAGTCCTCTATTGCAACTGTTGGTTGTTTTTTAGTTTAAGAATGTACATTATCCTCTTTTTTGTGTTTTTTTTTTCTATTAATAGAATTATCCCGTTTCTGATAAAAATCATTATAAGTAGCAACATAGCATGCATATGTTATCAATTTACTTTATGTCGATGACTGGGTATTTGAGCTTGATGGTATTGTAGAGTTTCTGCTTAAATTATTCCTCCTATTGTAAGTTTGTAAAGTTTTACTTTTCACGTCATTATACGACTGTATTTTTTCTTATGTTGTAGGCCAGAAAGTACTTCATTCTTTTTGTTATTTTTGACCCTAATTTATCAGATTTTCCTGAAAATATTATCACTTCTATTTATGATGCAGGGAAGAGATATAAGCATTGCAGAGAAGACAAATTATCTTGTTTTTATGATTAATGCCTTTCAGGTATGTGACACTTAGATTGTCGTTTAATCATACTTTGGTTGTTGAACAACTACCTATTGGATTATGAGTATAGTTAAGTTATCACTTATCAACTCATGCATTTCCAAGGGAGGCCCCAAGAAATTAGCCCAATGGTCATTGATAAAAAAAAAAAAGCATAATTACAAAATTAAATTGGAAGAGCAACTCATAAACAATCCAAGAAACTGATCAGCTCCCAGGCTCTATGGAAGCAGAAATTGACTTTTAATGGAATTGGATATGCTAACAGTAAATAATATTTCTAGGACTGGTGACTGTTTCTGCTAATATCCCCTGGTATTGTTCTTCTTTTATTGCTTAATACGCTAACAGTAAATAAATTTTTTAGGACTGGTGACTGTTTCTGCTAATATCCCTTGTATTGTTCTTCTTTTATTGCTTATAGATCTTTAAAAACTAACTTCTGCAGAGCTTGGAGGATGAGATTGTCAGTGAGACTGTATTGAGAATAGCAGGTCTGCAGTCTTGGCACAGTTTATCTTATGGTCGTTTTCAGGTATGATGTGCTCTGCTGCTAATCTTCTTTAACTATTTGAATGTGTAACAGCATTTTTATTTTTCATTCATCTGCAGATGGAACTTTGTCTTAATACTGATGTAATAAAGAAATGGAAAAGGATGATAAAGAGAGAGGCTAAAGAGTTTATTAAACGAGGGGAGGTTTTTGATCCATTGTCAAATACTGAAGCGAAGTTCTTGAGAAACCTAATCGAGGAGTTCCTGGAGGTTGCCCGTGTTTCTGATTATGATTATGTTTGTAGTTTTGGGGAAAGAAGTTGATTTAAACTTTTGTTCTTCGTCTTACTTTTGGAGACCAGGTTCTGGATGGCGAAGTCTTCTCTCAGAGTAATTCAGGTGATGGAAATGATCAGTTTGTTGGTGTCAATGGCTTGACAGAGGGAGACAATGCTTGCATTTTGTATTGTGAGAGGTTCATGGAGTTTCTGATTGACCTTTTAAGCCAGCTCCCTACAAGGAGGTATACTTAAATGCTACGACCACTATATGCATCCTTTGTTCAAATTTAAATCTTGATGGATGGAACTTTTATAGCTCTATTTGTGATGG